CTGAGGGCATCGAGGCGTGGGGAGGGGACAGTGCCTGGGGATGCTGCCCCAGTGCATGGTGGGAAATTCCCTGCTGTCCCTCCAGCATCCCTCTCCCTCCCCACTGGCTCCCTGCTCTTTGCCCCTTGGGGCTCCCCGGTTTCAGGGTGGTGTGTCCATTCCTCTCCCTACTTGTCCCCCCTCTCACAACATTCCCAACATCCTCGGTACCCACCCGGGATGCTGCAGACCCCTCCCAGCCCCCCCCCCCCCGGCCCGCCCGCTGCCAGCTCCCTGCTCCCAGCCCTTCCGGATCCATCACTCCCGAGGAGCAGAGGGAGGGAATGGGAAGAGTTTGTCTTTCAGCACCTTCTCATCGCAGGCAGGCGCGGGCTCTCCCTTGCCCCGAGCCCTGTCTGGGTCCCCTCCCTGTTCCCTGGCACCCAGTGGGTGCAGCGAGCAGCACCCCCAAACCCTCCCCTCCACAGGGCTCCAGGGGGTCCCACTGTGGGCTGACCCATGCTGGTGGTGGGATGGGGGCACCCAAATGTCCGTTGGCACAGCCAAATGACCCCAGTGGTGCCTGGTGCCCCAAGCCACATCCAGCAAGGGTTAACCCTGGCTCCCAGCTCCCAGGGACCACGAGGAAGCTGCTGCTGAGCCAGGAGGCCACTCCGTGCTCTGCTGTTCATCACACTGCTGGGCTCCCCAGGGCCCTGGCCTGCTCTTACCCCACCCTCTGTGCCCCCAGCCCGCCAGCCCCCCATGCCCAGCCCTGCCCAGCCGTTCCAGGGGAGCCGTGAGCAGGGATGCAGTTTATGTAAGGAGTGCGTGTCCCTGGGACACACGCACGTTACATAAACCTGCACGGCACTGCTGCCATCAGCACCACCTCAGCGGGAGCCCAGGAGAGGGGGGTCCACCTGGGGGAGCCCCCTGGACCCGCTCCCCCCCTTTCCAGGGCCGGAGCGTCGCTGGGAAGGAGCGGGGTGTGGGAGTTGCTGGGTTTGGGGTCAGGGGGTCTTGGTGCTGGGGAGAGGTCCCAGTGCTGGGAATGGTGCAGGGAGCACTCACAGGGTGCCAGTTCTTGCCTGGTGGGATGCAAGGCATGGCTGGGATGGCTGTGATCCTGGTGGGTTGCAGGGATGGGTGTGATCCTGGTGGGCTGCAGGGCAGGGGGTAAAGTGACCCCCCAGGTACTCCCTCCTCATCCCTCGGCAGGACGACACCATTGGGATGCTGCCACAGCATCCCAGTGCTCCACAAATCCCCTCTGCACCCCTTGGAGCACATCCTGCTCTTCCCACCTGGTTGCCACCGTGTCTGCAGAGAGGCAGAGGAGTTCTGCCTTCATCCCAGGCAGTGGGAGCAGGGATGGACAAGGCTCTGGATGAAGGTGGCAGCACGGATTGAGGCCAGACCCCTGTCTGGGCAAAGACAAAGGGGTCGGGGGTCCCAGGGTCTCACATCCCATGGAATGGCCACATGCTCCGTGCCGGACTAGCCATCCCCACCCCCCCAGCGCCAGGACAGGGGGCGCTTGGCCCATCCCGGTGTTTCTCCCATTCCGGTTCCGCCCGGAGCGGGGCGGCTGGAGCCTTTCAGCGGTGACGGGGCGGCACCGCCGAACAAAGGGCGCTTTCTTCACCCGCACGGGGCAGAGCACACCTGCCCTGCCTTGGCACCGCCGCCGGTGCCCCCGGGGCTGGGCGGCACCGCCGGCACCGCGCCGATTCCCGGTTCCCGGGCGTCAGAAGCCCCAGCATCCCTCCCTCCCGCCCGCCCAGTCGCTGCCGGAGCCGGCGGAGGCTGCAGATCGCGGGGAGCGGAGCCACTGCCACCACCTCGTCCTGCTGTCATGCTCAGGGCTGCCTAGAGCCCGGGGAAGGTCCCACTCGTGCTGCTCCCTGGATAACTCTCTCCCTGAATCCCAGTCCAGCGGGACCCCCCAGCTCTTAGGACTATAGGCAGGAGGAGCACGGAGCCCCCCAAGCCAATGGATCAAAAACTCCAGCTCCAGCACTCGGAGAAGAACATCCCCAGGGCTGCCCAGGCAGCTTTCTGCCTCCTCCAGATCCCGGAGCCGGACCCCTTCAGCCTGTGGGTTTAGGTGCTCCCACCCTCCCGGCCTTGCCTCTCCGGGATTTGGTGTCACCGGCAGAGACAGTCGCTCGTCCTCGGCCGCGGGGTCCCTGATGGACCCTCCAGGTAGCTGTGGGGTGGAGGGGATGCTCACCGAGCTGTGGGACTGGCTCCTTGTGCTCCTGACAGGGTGAAGGACAGGAGACAATGTCACCCTGAGGGAGCTGGGGGGACCTCGGGGATGGTCTATGGTGCGACAGCCTTGGGGCACAGGGGGGAAGGCTGGGAGCAACGTCCTGGAGCGGGGCTGGATGGGGGAGCCTGGCTGGGTCCTGTGCCTTGGAGGGGCGGGGTGGGTGTCCCCAGGGTGTCCCTGTGCCCCATGGTGCCCCGGTTCGGACAGGGCACTCCAGGATGTTTCCCAAGTAGTGTGGGAATGGGGACTTTGCCCTCCCTGGGCAGAAGATGTGACGGGGACAGGCGGCTCTGGGGACACAAACTTCTGTCCCCACCCTGCTCCCGTCCCCACCTTGTTCCTGTCCTCATCCCACTCCTGTCCCCATCCCGGCCATCAGGGCGGCTCCGCCCCACCCTGCGGCGGGACCGGGAGCTGGGTGACCTCGTGCCTGTCCCCTTTTGGCTGTCCTGGCTGTCGCGAAGAGAGTGGGACAGGGGGAAGCGATGCCCTGGCTCTTGCACCCCGCGCCTGCGTGTGGCCCGGGTCCCGCAGGAGGGCTAATCCAGCAAAATCTCCGCAGGCATTTCTCCCAGGAGGGGCCCCCTGGGAGCGAGGAGCTCCCCTTTCTCTGGAAGCCCTCCTGGGAAGCGCAGCCCAGCCCTGGCCGGAGGCAAATACCTGCGCGGGGCACGGCCCTCCCCACGCTGGGTGCCAGCGGCCGGGCGCGGGGCCAGGCTGGGTGCGGAGGGACGGGTGGGCACGAGGTGCGTCCCGGCCTCCAAAACCGCCGGGATTGGGCACAGGAGGGACCGGATGGGACGGCCAATACACACGCTGCAGACACGTGCCCTCCCCTCCCGGGTCGCGCTTCCCGAGGGATGCCGCGGGGCACAGGGGAGTCAGGGATGCCCCCCCTCGCCATGCCGGGGGGCTGCCCACCTAACACGGCGCGGGGGAGCTGGGGGGTTGAAAGCAGCCCCCCCAGTGACACCCGCAGCCACCGCCGTGCCTCATTTTCCCCGTGGCGCTGCCCGGGCAGGGCTCGGTGCGGTGCCCCGCTGATGCCCCTCTTCCTGCCCGCAGGGTCCGGCCTGCCCGGGACGGCGCTGAGCACTACATGAGTGTGGGAGCAGCATGGCCAGCGACGCGAGGATGGGGGAGACCCCGCCGAGGTGGAGAAGAGCCCCGGACGCAGTGCAGGACTCCCGGGGGATGGAGAGCAGCGGGATGGTCTTATCCCGAAGCGCTGCCGCCGAGCTGGGACTCCCGGGCTACGCCGAGCCCGGCAAGCTGAGCTACGGGATGGAGAAGGGGTGTCCCTGGAGGGGCTCCGAGGGATGTTTGGGACCCGTCCGGGAGCTCGCCGGGGGCCGGCTGGGCTGTCCTTACCCCCCGGCCCCGCCGTGCCTGCGGGACGCCCTGTGCCGCCCCAAGGACGGGGCAGAGCTGCCCCCGCTGCTGCCCCCCAGGAACGGGCAGTCCAAGGTGGGCTGGGGGGAGCCCTGCAAGGACCACCCCGGGCCGCGGTGGGCTGAGGCCGTGCTGGCCCCTCTGGCCCTCTACAGCCACGCGTACCACCGCTACCCCCTGCCCGTGCCGGGGCTGGACCCTCAGCGCCCCGGCACCGCCGGCAAGCCCCGAACGGCCGCGGGGGACGCGGCCGGAGACCCCCCGGCTTTCCGCCACTGCCCTTTCCTCGTGGAGGCCAAGCACAGCCCCTTCCTCCTGTCCTCGCTGCTGCCCACCGGACCCCCGGCCGACCCCCCGTTTGGCGGCGCGGGGGCGGAGGCGCCGGGGGCGATGGGGGACGGGCGGTTCCCCGGCGTGGACTGGCGCCTGGGCTCCTACGGGCCCGCCTGGGGACAGCCCCTCTACCTGGGGGTCCCGCCGAGGTGCAAGGCGGCCCTGCCCCCCTTCGACGACTGCTCCAGCTCAGGGAACAAGGTAGGACGCCCCGGAGAGCGTGGATGGTCAGGGGTCTCCGAGGCGACAGCGGGCTCCAGCCCCCCCACCTCTCTCCTGCAGCTCCTCAGGAGGGTCCCGGCTCCCCACGAGGGACGGGGTGACACGCCCCTGGGGTGATGCTGTGCTCCGCCGTGTCCCCGCGGGTGATGCCACCCCCGGGCTGAGTCACGGCGGCAGGAGCCGGCGGGGGCGGCGGGAGGCAGCGCTGCCAGCCCTGGGTGCGCCCGTCGCACCCCGTGCCGCTGCGGCTCCCCATTCCTTTCCCACGCTGCCGCGGGGGGCGGGGGGGGGGACACACACAGGCCCCCCCCATCACTGGGAAGAACCGGGGCAGCCGCCCCGCTCGGCAGCGTGGCGGGGAAACTGAGGCAGGGCCGCGGGATGCTCCCTATCACCCCCCCCCCCGCAGCCACGCGGGTGACAGGCAGTGACAAGGGACCCTTCCCCCCCACAGCCAGGGTGACACCAACCCCCTCTGCTCCCTCCGCAGGAGTTTTACCCGAAGAAAGAGCCCGGTTTCCACCCCCCCGCCAAGGACCACGCGGCGCCGCAGCTGCTGGGCAAGAGCCAGGCCGGCCAGGACAGGGATGGGGACGGGGACGGGGAGCCGGCGGTGCCGGAGCCTCCGGGAGCCCCCTGGAGGGATGGCCGAGCCGGGGGTAGCTCGGCGGTGCCCCCTGCCCACTCCCGCACGCCTCCCCCCGGCGCCAGCCATCCCCTCTTCCTCCTGCAGCCCGGCGCGGGGGGCTGCGGGGGTCCCTGGGTGGGCGCGCGGCCCCACGGCGCCGATTTTTCCATGGAAACGGGGCCGGGACGGCCCTCGGAGCCCAAAGATGAGCGCCTGGGCTACCAAAGCCTCCAGCCCGGTTCGCCACCGGGATCCAGAGAGTCCAACCCGTCGCCTCTGCTCACGGACGGGCACTATCCACCGGCTGTGGCCAAGCCGGAGCCCCCCGCAGCCTGTCTGTGCCCCACCCCGGGCTGCGATGGGTGCCCGGGGGTGGGCTGCAGGGTGCCCAACCCCTTCGAGCCCGCCCTGGGCATGCCCGGGGGGCGCTTCCCGTGCCCCCCCAGCAACCACACCAAGCTGAAGAAGACGTGGCTGACGCGGCACTCGGAGCAGTCGCTGCCTCGCCTCAAGGCTGCCCGGCGGGACGGGGGTCCCGAGCCCCCCGGGGAGGGCAAACGCTCTGCCAAGCGGCCCCACGGCACCGCTGAGGGACCATACGCTGCCAGCGAGGGCGCCGGGGCGGCCAAGAGGGGCACGAAGACCACCGTGTGCCCCGGGGATGGCCCAGAGAGTGGAGGGGACCCCGAGGAGAGGAGGATGGAGCTGGGAGAGGGAGGTAAGGAAGGAGGGTGCTCGGTGGGGCTGGAGACAGGGTGGTGGCATCACCCAATCCCAAAAAGAACTTTTGCATCCCCTGTCCCGGCGCCCACAGCACGAGTTGGGCACACGTGAGGGCTGGGAAAGCTGCTGCTCTGGGGTTTTCCCTGGCATGACTCGAGTCTGGCAGCGATTCCCAGGGCAGGAATGGATGGAAATGCTCCTGTGGGGCAGCGTGGCACCCTCGGGTGGGATGCCCGGGGCGTGGAAGTGCCGTC